TGAAATGTAAATTGCTAAACAAATAATAGACGAAAACGTTAAAGTTTACATTCATTTTAAAGCGTAGCTATTCAGCTTTCTAACAGTGGGTTGTTTCTTAAATTTGACTCATTGGTTCGCGGGTAATAATACTTTACGTTATTGCGATTGGAGATTAAAATAATTGAGATGGAATAACAAATCGTTCTCATGAAAATAACTGTTTTTTTCATTAAAACAAAAAATGTTGCATTTTATTAAATGGATTGTAACAATAAGTATAATTACGGCTTTTCTTCCACTATTTTTAACTCAGTTTGAAACTTCAAATGCGATATAATTTTGGCTTGGACCATCTAAGCTGACTGACATTAACTTGCTATAATTTCTGTTTACATTACATGCATCGAAATTCGATGACACTCTGGCTCAGACACCAGAATGTCTTGACGATTTTTCGCATTCGTTTAGGATTTTCAAACAACCTGGTCTCTTTTAAAATACGTTTAATTTGTTCTTACGTGGTTTTCAAGATGTAGTGACCACAACATTAAAGTTTAAAGAAGAAAATTCTAACATTTAAACCGACTAAACAATAACATAGTAAACTTGCATAATTAAACAGCAACTAAAATTAATGATAGGTTTAACTAAATCTTTCCTGTGCAATTATTACTAGCATTGGAGACAAGGATAATAGTTTGTTTGAAAGAGGAAAGAACAGGCTTTGAAGTAAGCCTAAAAACGTTTAACTAGAAATAGTATTTCGAAAGTTATTAAGCACAAAAGATGAATTGCGTTTATTTTGATACACCCTGTATATATATATATATATATATATATATATATATATATATATATATATATATATATATATATATATATATATATATATATATATATATATATAGAATGAACAACCCAAAGAAACAGACCATCAAAGCCATGATGGTAAATATGTTAACGAGTCAGAAACTATTATAATCTGTGATAGCAATGGTAGATATCTACAACCAAAACTGTTATGCCCTGACACCAAGAATAGCTACATAAGGTGCCCAACATTGTCGAAAGCTAAAACAATAATCCAGAATGCAACATTCACCTCTCCTCGCACATTTATTATTCATTGTGGTCCTAATGATTTAGAAAGCACCAAATCAAACGAGCAAGTGGTTAATCAAACAATGGAAGTAATTACTGAGGTAAAGAAGAAATTTCCTGAAACCCGAATTCTTATTTCGTCACTACTCCCTAGAAATGACATTTTAGATGAAAGATCAAACATAATTAATAAGGAACTAGAAAAAATTATCTCCTCCAAACCGAAAGTTACCTTGGTTAAGCATGACCATATTCACCAAATCATACCATCTCAAAGATAAAATGCACTTGAATATAAGAGGTGTAAAGCTATTTGCCCGAGATCTTAAAGCAGCTTATTTCAACACACCTATAGGAAGAATACCTCAATATACCTCAAGGAATAATAGCAATACATCATCGCAATACCCACGATACCAAAGCACATTCCCGCTACATCCCCAATTGAAAGGCAATCTCCCTTTCACCCCACTCAATCCAAATATGCCCCCTTTCAACATGTTCAATGATCCTCCATCAAACCCTTCCAACCCATTCTACTATCCAGCTCCCTTCAAGCCAAATCTCAGAAACATCACAAATGAACCACAGAAGAAGACCACTTCATTGTTGAATCAAAAAAGTCAATCCTTCCCACCACAATTGATAGAGTTGATTGAACACCTTCATAGGTATGTTAATAAACTAAATTCAACATACATGAATGTTGCCTTAGTTTACAGATATGATACGTTAAATTTAACATACTGTAGTAGTATAATAAATTAAATTTCTCCCTTAGTAGGGTGGAAATATATATATATATATATATATATATATATATATATATATATATATATATATATATTTATAATATAGCATTTGTAAATTCTGAACGCTGATTGACTAAGAGCCGTGTTGATATTACTCAATGTCAACACGGGAAATTTTCCGCCGCTTGTAAACACGGAAATTTTTCTTATCCTTCGGGCTTTTGACATTGTTATATTATAAGAAAAATATAAAACATTTTTAGTTATATCAGTTATATCAACACTCGTGGAAGTTGGGAAAACTCGAAATTGTATGAGAACACTCCGCCCTTCGGGCGTCGTGTTTCCATGCAATTTCTCGTTTTCCCAATTCCACTCGTGTTGATATAACTGTATATCAACACGGAAAATGTTTTATATTTGTTAAATATAAATCTTTATATATCCTAAATAAAAAACCCCAATAGGTCTCATGTCATCCTCTGCCAGTTTCACACAAATCTTACCTATTTTAAAATGCCCCCAAACATCTCTTTTAGTGCATGGAATATCCATGGTCTAGCAAGCAAGGTTCTTGGTGATAAAACTAAAAACAAGGACTTTGTTGATAGTGCTATCAAAAATGACTTCTTGTTTTTAAACGAAACATGGTCAAACACAGAAATTAATGTCCCTGGTTTTAAGGCTTTTGTCTCGGATACTGCAGTGCCTATCACTAACAAGGCATGCCGTATATCAGGAGGCATCACTCTATTAGTTAAAACAAAATTCGAGAAATATGTTACAATTGTCAAAAAATGAAAAATTTTTCTATGGTGTAACATTTCAAAAGACATACTAAAAACCGATTTAGACTTATTCTTGTGTGGTGTTTATATACCGCCTGAAAAATCAGGATACTTTGATGAGGAAACTAGAAAATGACATAGTCTCATTTGCATCAAAGGGGAACACCATGATCCTTGGTGACTTTAATGCACGAACATGTAAACTTGAAGATTTTGTCTCCAAAGAAGGCAATAACTTTATAAATGACACAAGTGAAAACTGTCTACAACCTAAAGTCAGACAAAGTTTCGACAATAATATCAACAACCACGGTTAAAAACTTATCAATTTATGTAAAAACACAGACCTAAGAATCCTAAATGGAAGAACCATAGGAGACTCATTAGACAGACCAACATTTCATGGAATAAATGGCACAAGTGTAGTCGACTACATTATATGTGACCAAAATATTTTCCAAAATATTAACTATTTTGTAGTAAGACCTCCTACATATTTATCAGACCACAGCCAAATCATTACATGGATTGATATATGTAAGACAACAGAAAATAAAGAGAACAATCAATCTCAATCACCCACCCATAAATTACCATTACAATTTGTCTGGTCAATGACCTCAAAAAATGATTTCAGACAAAGATTAAAATCACATGAAATACAAACAAAACTAAATCAATTTGTAAATTCAGAGTTCACAAATGATATAAACGGGGTTAATAAGTGTTTATCTGAATTTGAAGATATTATGATTGAAGCATCCAAAAAATAACTAAAAATAAGAAAGAAAAAAATTCGGAAAAATATTACCAATGTTGCTAATAAAAAATGGTTCGACAAAGAACATTGTTCTTTCAGTCACACATAGTACAAGTATTATTTACATTCATGCCAATGGTAGTATTTTATTCGGCTTTATATTTGTATGTGTATTGATTATTAACTCTCGAAATGAGCATGTATTTATTAATTTCTTCGAAATCACGAGTGTGCCAATAGTGGAAGCCGTTCGACGACAAAATTGTCAGCAGTTTGTACAGTAAATATTACAACGTTTAATGTACGACTTACGACATTCGCACGATGTATATTTATCTAAACGACATGCCAGCGAGGATCGACAATATAATTTGTATTCGTACATATCAACCTCGTACCCAGGGCCTTTGCGCGGTTCAGAGGCTCTGGTACGGGAAGCAAAGGCCCTGGTAAACACTGGTCACGTGTGTCCAAAAATATTGGACATTTTTGTAACCTGGCTTTATTTAGGTTATGTTATCCCGGGGGGGATGAACAACTGAACATTGCAATGCACGAACTATAAAAGTTTCAAATACAAATGATTTTGCGTTTGATTTTTAAAATATGAATGTATAACAATTGTCCGAAAATTCATATTTTAAAACAGCAGACAGCAGATTTTAGGCTTGTTTTTATTTTGATGGAAATTATAAACTTTGAAGTCACATGGATTTTGAATTGTGCTATAAAGAATGCTATATATTCGAGGTAAACGATTTTATGATGCATATATAAAATTATATTCTCATATCTTTTAATATTTATCAGTTTATATATCCTAAATTCCAGCAGATTCGTGGCTGTCTGTTTGTATAATTAGTTTTCTTCGTTTAGTTACTCCTCCATCTTTCGCTTTTGGATATAAACCCTCCTTCATGCCTGATATATTTTTTGGTTATCTCCATCCTTTACTAAAATCAAAATTTTATGTTCCAGCTTGCTCAGAAAATATTCAATCTTTCATAACTGGAGTTTTCTTTGACATGTAAAATAGTTAGGCAGTACTCTCAGTAAAATACTTATTTAACTGGCTGACCATTACAGTAGTCAAAAGTTAATAAATGAATACATGCAAGAATTACAAATTAACTCCCTCATACCAATCCATTGGTCTCTGACTCATCCAATAAATACTTAACAGAATAGTACGATAAAAATAGAAAAGTGTGAAAATGCCAACGTTACCTAACTTTGTGTGACAAGAAAGTTAGATTACATTAATTTTACAGTCCGGTGTTCTTTTCTTTATTGCCTCAGTCAATACTCTGGTTGATGATTCCAATGACCCCCATAAAATTTTACTGGAGAAAATGTTTCCCCCACTTCTTGCCATTAAATCTCCATAGCCCCCAATTTTACCCATCCAAGGGAGAGTCTTGTGTGGTCACACTACAGTAATGGGAATATGGGATAATCAAATATGGCATACTTTGTTATTTTTCTCTGTCCAACACCAGACAATTTTACTTGTCAAGTGTAAGATTAAGTGAGTAATAAAAAGTGGCTGGATATTCTAACTTTTGCTCCATATAATTGGACTTTGGTTGTGAGCAAAATGTAAAAAGTCAATTACCAGTAATACTGGCCTTACTAAGTAACATCCCTATTATTTACCTTGCAACCTTGGGCAGTTGTGCTGTTACAGCAGAATGTGGTTTCAAATGACAGTTATTTTAAGGCATTATGATATTCCAGTGTGCCAGTAAGACATTTGTCGTTTGTTTCTCTTTTAGTATTATATCGAAAAGGTGATTGCAGGGTATTCAGATCCTGGAGTGATGTGAAATGGCCCTGACCTTGGGCAATTAAGTAATATATGAGTGGTGTAAAATAGGAAATTTTTTATTCATTCTGATTGACTAATAAAATTAGAATGGTGAGAATAATGATGATGATGGTAGTGAAATACAAGTTGTGATGATATTGGTGATGCACAGTTGTAATGATACTGCTGATAATGAAAATATATTGTATTTGTAATGAGACATAAATAATAAAGAGATTGGCAGTAATGAATGTGTATGACTTGATCAATAGGCAATTCCCATTATAGCTAAGCATCATGGGAAATGTGGTAGGCTTCACTTGCACGCGAAATGGCCGCCGCGAAGCGAGCATTTTGCATGCGAGAGAAATTGCTTTATTAAAGTACATTTTTTCCAGAGTATTATAGTTTAAATAGAAGTAATGTGTTTGTATTACATTGAAGTGTATTGTGGACGAAGTATATCGAAATCGAAGCGAAAACGGACGAAATAATTGGTGTTGAACAGGCGAGGAGCGAAGAATGGCCTCGCAAATACGAACCGAGAGGAAGGTTCAAGTCTACATTCTAAGGTGAGTACGCTTGGTAGACATCGGACTCCACGATACAAATACGTGTGACTTGTTGCTGATTTATATCTCGATTTTCACAACGATCCAGCGTTATCTCGCGATTTTTTCGCTTCTTGAAACTCTCAAATTCGGCCCATGATGTCTTTCGTTCGTTCGATAAGCATGGCCTCTAAAAGCAGTCTTTTAAAAAAGCCTTGAAAATGTTTTGGCGCGAAAGAAAACCAACCTAAACCGGGTTTTTTCCGCCCCAGCTCTGTTACGTTGCCAAAAGCATAAAAAGAAATATTTTTACCGCTGTTTCTGCCGTTTATAATAATTTCTGCTTCCTTTGTTGTGGTCGGTTCATTTCCTATCAAAATAAACAAGTAGGTTCTAGCTAGTTAATTTTAAATATATTAAATTTACCTCTTTTAACTTTGTTAAAACTGTAATAAAATTTGCATAGTTTTGTGCTTAGTTAAATACAAATTTAAAGGTTTTTAAAGGCATTCTAGTTTAATTTTTTTCATATAAAGCTGCAGGCAGTTTAGTGGACAAGAATATAAATATATTAATATTTTAAAATAAGGAGTAGGTTTTAAGGCTGGTCCTAAAAATTAAATTTCTACATAGTTAATTTTAAAATTGTTAGGATAGGTTTAAGTTAAATTAAATAAGTTTATATTATGGGTAATGAACCAGGAACTTCAATAGAGGCAGATACAAATTTGGCAGCATTAGGGGATGGTTGGACAAAGAGTTTAATTAAAGAATATCCCAGAATTTTCATACCAGAAATTAGAGGAACATTTGGTACTGGATGCTAAAAAAACACCTGACAACAAGCCTGCATGCTGAAGCATTTAAACATAAAAAAGTGGATACAGACTTTTCAAGGCCGGTTATCCAAGGCAATTTGTGGTCAAGCCAAATGTGAAGAAAGGAGATAAGGCTATTTTCTGGCCAGATCCGGTTCCAGCCGGATCTTAAAAAATTGGTTCCGGTGCACCCCTAGGGGAGATATGCCAATCAAACCTTTACCAGTGTTATGGTTTTTATACGTTGAAAAGGTTGCACTTTGACTTCTTGGTTGTGAGGGCATTTCTATAAATACTTGCAATCGACAATCACCCTAGTATTGGGATAACTCTCCTTGAAGCTGGAAGGCATGGTTTCTCTAATATAATTTTGTGAAGACCAAATGGGAATGGAT